TCCGTTCACCAGTCTGCACTGACCAGCGTGGTGAAGTATGGTCAAGCAACCCCCAATGCCAGTTACGACATGAGGCATTCATCCAGCAGTGGTTGGCAAAGTGATGTACATTATTATTAGGGACACTCGTTATAAAGATTATTATCGTGAGCTCCGCTAGGATGAGATGCATTGTTTTACGTGGAACTTTGTTACTTAAGGCTTTCATTAAAAAAAAATCCCACAATTGGACTAAATGTCTTGTGGACTTATTGACAATGCAAGATATCAACATTTGTGTTCCCCCTTTACGCGAAATGTTTTACGTCTGCAGTGGTTTGTTTGGAATCCACTTATTGTTGTACAACCGGCCACGTGTCTTCAAATTCCTCGGGAAAAGGCAGCAGCAGCAGCACGTGTGATTGTTTCACCATCTTGTACGAGTACAGCATCGCTTAAAAGGACATGGATTTGAATTTGTTGCTCGTGTTTCCGCCGACACGGTTGGCCGATGCTGCAGTAGTAGCAGTAGCAGCAGGAGGAGTGTGTTTTCCTCATTAAAGTTGTGAAATGCTGCTTGTGGCGTGGAAAGTACGGAGATGATCAAAGGGATTATTGAAGCCGAGTGTCATTTGTCATGATAATATGCCGTACCAAAGATGGGTGTAACAACGTAACATCTGGTCTACTCCTGTTGAGCACCAGCGAGTGGCTTCATAATGTTATTTAAACTACAAAAGTGGATATGCTTTTGTACTGGGGGGGGGGCTCACTCTTGTTACAGTGCCCCCCCCCCCCACACTTTCTGTTTATTTCATCATTGTGGACGCATGTAAAATATACATTGTGAATAATGTGTCTGATGGGGATTATCCATTTTTTTCTGGCCACATGTTACCTATGACTCTCATGCCACTCACTTTCTCAAAGCACATTGCCTCAAATTCCTGTGGTACTGGTAGGCCGCGCAATCCCTTGAGACTACAGTGCAGTGTTGATAATTCTTTAATAATGTACAGCCCTTTGTCAATTTGCTGCTTGGATGAAGGCCTACTCATGAGGGGGAGATTATTTAATGTTTAGTTTAATATGCTGAGCAATGCGGATGTGTAACTGCAGTAGCGTTTAAGAGTTCAGTTCCGTTTTAGTAACGCTTAATTTACATTACTGGATTGCCCTTATTTCCTAAAACGCAGATATTGTACATTGATTACCACACCGCATCCTATTTCTCACAGCGTTTAACAACACTGAATTTAGTTAGTTCTCCGATGACAACTCGTGTACCGTTGTCAACATTCACACGCGATTACGATTTAGTCGTGGGGGGAGGGGGGCAGGTCAGATTAAAGAATAATCGCTTCACCAGAGTTCAAGCTCAGCTGGTTGGTCACGGCAGCATATCCCACCTCCACTGGGTGTCCTTAATTGGCTGACGTGTAAAGACCGCAGTGCACGCACGCGGTGCCGGTTGTGACCCTTTGTTTTGTTAAAAGACGGCAGGATGTGCGGCAGCGACTTGGGGGGAGGGGGGGGAGCTTGTTTCCTGTGGAAATTGGAGCAGGGGGAGAGGCAAATCATTGGCCGCAGCTGGGATTGTTTGAACACTTGTTCCATCATGCTGTCTCTTCCCACTGACCTCCCCCCACCCACCCACCACCATGGTAGAGGTTGGTGTGGATATGGTCTTGTGTGCAAAGGAATTGGAAGTGAGCTGTTGTTGCCTTTACATCTGGATTGCGAACTCGTGTCTTTAAGAACAGTTTTTTTTGTGTGGTTTTAGTTTGTTGTTGTTCCCCTCCCCCCCGACGCCCACACATCCGTTTAGCATGCTGGGCTAAGTACGGTGCGAAAGAAGTTCAACATACATCTTAAGTACGGTTTCATCCGTTGGATTTCAACTGCACCATGCAGTATATAGTAGTCATTCATTACAGTGTTGTGGTTGAATATCTAATTTATTGCAAAATGTGTATGAAACTTCATTGGGTTCTGAAGTGGAACGAGTAAGTCAATTGCAGGACTGCACCTTTACCGTTTCCTGGACTTTATTTACTCAAAGCTTGCAAAGTTCCAAGATGAATATCGTGTGAAAGCGGGCCCTGCAGGTGCAGTGAGATCAATTCGTTGTGGCGTGAGACAGTTGAATCTGAACGGGGAGAAGCATCGGATCAGCTGGCAGGGTCAAAATACAGAACTCCTCTTATCTATGGTCATATTACCCGCAAATCCTATTATTCAAGGCAGCTGTAAGGTCCATAAAAACTCCTACTATCCGCAGTGCTATTTATTCCGATTATTGAAAGTTATCCAGGATTTACCCATAAAGCACACAGAAGATGCTTCCAAATGCTCACAAATTTTCTGCGGATAAGGGGAGTCACGTGACAATTTCATCCTATTATCCGCGATTGTTTTACCCCACGGATAATTGGGGTAAAATCGTGGATAACCCCACGGGTGATAGGATTTGCGATATTGTTCCCCCATATCACCTCGGATATGTGAACGTCTTGTATATAGACACACACACACTTGTTAAATGCTGAGAGTAGATATTGAGAGTGTGAGACTTGAAAGGCCTACCGTGGGCTTAAGGTTTTTGTACCAGGGTAACTTAGCCCCTTGGTGTAATGTCAGAGCATTGGACACATAGGTGGGGATGAAAAAATAAGCAAAAGTTTATGTAGTCAGTGTGGTGTACAGTATTTGTGGTGAATATGAAACTTGAAAACACGTTGCTAGAGGTGACCTAAGCTGTCACTAGGCCTGATTTAAAGTGTGCAATCCATATGATGACACAGTCACAAACAATGCAGGCCCGTGAAACTGCCCAAGCATTGAACACCTGTAATGACAAGGGATTTACAGGCTTAAATATAAGTCTCTGCAGATGTGACTTAGCCATTGTTACTAAAGGAATAATGACTGTGTCAAGATATCCCACTGTAACGAGATAAACACACGCGGACATTTTAAAATAATTGTTTAACCATTTCCAGGATCCTGCATAGTACAGTACAATATTGGAGATGTAGTGTCTAAATGTAACCATATTTCATTCTGCTGTACAGAATAGTGGGTTTATTTATTTTATCGACAGAAAGAGACACAGTCGGTCATATATGGAGAGTAAACCAAAAATATATAAAGAATTGAGTCTTGACTGGAACGGAGAGTGGGAAAGGGAGTTCCAGACTATGTGGTCATCAGTGGAAACACAAATGACCTCCCACTGAGCGAAGGTTGATTGGGAGATTCGACAATTGGTATGATTGCAAATACATTATTCAGTGAAGTACTTCAGTGTATCAACTTCCTACATGTAACTTGACACTTTTTTTTAAGAATGCATTTCAGGTATGACATTAAACTTCAATGCTGCATAATCATGGTAACACATCAAAGCCTAAATTGAATACAGTACCATATGCTGTCTCTGATTGAGTCATGAAATGACCACACCGTTTCACCAAAAAACATGTTTTATGATCGATTGGAACGAGCCATTTGCTGCCTTTTTTTACCTGTGCTCCTGTGCAAGGTTGTGTTACGTCAGCTAATAATGTGTTCTACAGACATTAGGAGTGAAGTCATACATCGGCCACAAAGGTTGGATGAGGTTGACGACGTCACCGCGTTTTGTGCGGTTTGCCATATACCCCATGGTGCCTCCGTGAATAGCTCACATTAAAGAATCAAGTGGCTTACTGTTGCTCTTTGGGTTACGTCCATGCACATGCGTCTTTGCAGCAGACGATTGATGAGAAACGCCACTCTGTCAATTAGCTCTACAGCATTCCCCGGCACTGTTTGCAGTGGAAGGCAGAATAATGAATAAAAAAAATAATGAATAAAAAACCCCATCAGATGAAGTATTGTGGTTCCATTAGCATTTGATTGTGCGCGCTCAGGCTTGTGTCTCTGCTCGCTTTTGAAGTGTAGCTTTGTGTTGTGGATCGATCCTCCCCTGAGATGTATTTCACAGGAAGCCTCAAGGGTGAGGCTCGGATTGCTGCTTTGTTGTGCTTGGCCAGGGGCGCATAGTGCTGGGCCCACGATGAGGGAAAGGGTTGCCGCCACCGTGTTATTGGTTCGTGCGGAATATTGTTAGCTTTGGATTGTGTCTGCCTGGGTGGCGGTCATAAAAATGGTAGGATAACAGGAATACGGAAAGCGCGGTGGGTCTCCTGGGTAAAAAAGGGGAAGGAAATTTTACGTGGCGCATTGGTAGGCAGCATCACATGAAATGTGAATCGGTTGCATTACAGCCGTTGCGTTTATATGACGCACATCATTTGGAAGTATGTTTGAATGTAAAATTGTAATCAAAATGTCTCGGCTTTTGAGTTTTTTACCGTATGTGAAACATTTCAATGTTCCCCATGTTACCACTGGCAAATAATGAATGACTCAATTTCAGCGTGAAATATTGTAATGTGCCGTCTCGCATTTATCATTAACTTCGGAAGCATTACTAAGTATGTTAAGCATTGCTTGACATCAGCACTTTAAATACTTATTACAGGGTTCAACAGATTGCATTCATTTGCATTCATTGTGTTCAAGTGCAAGTCATTGGTTTTGTTTAAGATATGTGCAGGAACCCATGTCTCTCGGGTCAGATTATGCAGTGATAAATCAGTAAAAAATATTCTGGCCGCTTCCGATATTGTGTTTGTTTTGGCAACTAAGCATCAATGCAAGTACAGTATTTATGTTGGAATAAAGCACTGGATATTACCATGGAGTCCAAAATAAAAACATGCGCACACAACATTTAAAGTTGTATTACTGACCAAGGATGGTAAATCATGCACATGAATGGATTCTGTCATGCTTTTCAATATACACGTACAAAAGTTATCTCGACCACATGTTACAGACAGATTTGACAGAGTGACAGACCGAGAAGCTAATGCGTAAATTCTTTCAACCTTCGTCGGTGAGCGTTAAAAAAACCCCAAACGACATCGACGATGCCTCTGTGACGGACGTGCATTGCGCTTTGTCTCGCGCAGGTCTGCGTGGAGTTCGACGGGCTGGAGTGGGACCGCAGAGAGTGGCTACGCGTGTACGACGATAAGTGCTCGGCATTCCTGGTGGAGCACGCCCTGGTGTGGGCGCCTCGGACGCACTTCAACGAGCCCTCCGAGTCGTCGTCGCCAAGAGCCACGCCAAGTGCCCAGACGCCTGCCGCAGAGGCCGATGCATGCCAGAGGCCCTGGCCTGCCCTAGTGAGTAAAACCCCATCTGCACCAAGACCCAGTCACCGGACACGTGTTTTTTTTGTCTTAAATGTTTAGGGTGTCGCCTTAGTAACCCCAGCCTTAAGACTGTAAACCACAGTGGTTGTCTTTCTAAATGATACGTTAAAAAAAAAACCTGTTTTTTTGGGCTCATTACTTTTAAAATGTATTCGAAAGCCAAAATATCGAAGGAAAATTAAAGCTAAATCTATAAAAGTCATTTTTTGTCTGCCTGTGTGTGGCCGACACTTGCGAGGTGTTTGACTCGCGAACCGTGGGGTTAACGTTTAAAAAAAGTACCCAGGTAGCACGCCATGAGCCCCGTGGTGAGCCAGCGGTATTCCGATTTCGCGTCAGTCGCCTTAAAAGTCGTAGTTTAATTCGCGATTTAGTGGCAGTTGGGGTTACTTATTTATTTATTACGTCGCGCCTCCCAGCGCGCGCCTCTACCAAGTCACACGTTTATGGTGGGGGGAGGGCTCATACCAAGTCACACGCTTGTGGTGGAGGGGGGGGCTCATACCAAGTCACACGCTTGTGGGGGGGGGGGCTCATACCAAGTCACACGCGTTTGGTGGGGGGGGGGGAGGGCTCATACCAAGTCACACGCGTTTGGTGGGGGGGGGGGGGCTCATACCAAGTCACACGCGTTTGGTGGTGGGGGGGGGGGGCTCATACCAAGTCACACCCGTTTGGTGGGGGGGGCTCATACCAAGTCACACCCGTTTGGTGGGGGGGGGGCTCATACCAAGTCACCCGTTTGGTGGGGGGGGGCTCATACCAAGTCACACCCGTTTGGTGGGGGGGGGCTCATACCAAGTCACACGCGTTTGGTGGGGGGGGGCTCATACCAAGTCACACGCATTTGGTGGGGGGGGGGCTCATACCAAGTCACACGCGTATGGTGGGGGGGGGGGGGCTCATACCAAGTCACACGCGTTTGGTGGGGGGGGGGACTCTTTCGTGTGGACACTGTGCAAGGTAACACACAGATTTACAGCTCCCTTCAAACATTTATTACCATGACTGTTTACTCAATACTATTCCTTTTATGAAATAGTTAATGACAGGGATTAACCAATGTTTGATGATGGCTACCCTAAGTAACACGATTTTTCTCCCTGAATTAGTGCTACTTTGAAATTGTTACATACAAAATGCCTATTATTCCCCACTAACTTTGCTTTAGCGGCCACGTCTTTATGTGAGGGTATGACACTTATGCACACGTTTTCTCTTTGAAAATAGGTGCATTTCTAAATATCACTGTCCTGCTCACAAAAAAAACAGGTTTTAGGGGAAGAAGAGCCTTTTTTGTGTACTATTGAGGCATCTGCAGCCACGTAATATCACTTACTGCACAGGGCTAAACCAATAAATATTACTCATTGTTATTACGTCTTCATTCTCACATATTTACACTTGCCCCCTCAGTAGGGGGGGGGGGGTGAGCGGTGACGTTATGTCAATTAGGCTTAATCGGTGCGCATCTGCTCATAGTTACAGGTAGGATAGGGTGATTTATTATTCCTTGAATTTCATTTCTTTGCCGCTTTTGCTCGCGGCAAATGTTTGCACTAAAATGGCAAAACACCCTGGTCGTCGCTCTTAATTACTTGCTTATTATACACGCGTGCATTTCCCCTCTCCCTTGCTTCTTGCACTGAAGTCACGTAGATAGAAAACTATTATTTAAAAACTTAGTAAATATAGAAGTAATAGTGTGCGTGTGTACGTCAATGTGTGCGTGTGAGTCCATATATGTGTGTGCTTTGTGTGTGTGCGAGTCCGTGTGTGTGTGTGTGTGAGTCCGTGTGTGTGTGCGTCGATGTGTGTGTGTGACAGTCGCTGTGTTTGTGTAAGTCCATGTCTGTGTGTGTAAGTCGATGTGTGTGTGTGTGTAAATCCATGTATGTGTGTGTAAGTCAGTCGATATGTGTGTGTAATTGGATATGTGTGTGTAGGTCGATGTGTGTGTGTGTAGGTCGATGTGTGTGTGTGTAGGTCGATGTGTGTGTAGGTCGATGTGTGTGTGTGTAGGTCGATGTGTGTGTGTAGGTCGATGTGTGTGTGTAGGTCGATGTGTGTGTGTAGGTCGATGTGTGTGTGTGTGAGTCGATGTGCATGTGTGTGTAGGTCGATGTGTGTGGGTCGATGTGTGTAAGTTGATGTGTGTATGTGAGTCGATCTGTGTGTGTGAGTCGATCTGTGTCTGTAAGTCAATGTGCGTGTGTAAGTCAATGTGCGTGTGTGTGTAAGTCAATGTGTGTGTGTGTCGGTGGTGTAGCTGTAAGCATGCTGCACCACGAAACCGGCGACCCCAATTCGATTCCCGCTCACGGCCAACACCGGTGACGATTATCTGAACCGGTCCTGAGCCTCCCCTACGTCGAATCAGCTTCAACTGAGACCCTGCTGCGATGTGTAGTAAACATCATCAGCGGGGACTAACCATTTTTTTTCATTTTGTTACACTATATTGCATTCTCCTAAACACGTAAAATTCATACACAACTACTTTTTACATACATTACACTTTTCTGTATTTGTGTATGTATATGTAGTGTTTTTAAGAGGAGCTTTGAAATCTCTTTTTCGGTACTTCCCGCTTGTATAATATAAGTTGGTAAAGACGCAGCTCTGTAATTACTTGCTCACGTCACAGCTGGAGGAAGGGCCTGCACCAAAGAGAGCTCTAGAAATCTCCCTCTAGAGCAGGGGTGGGGAACGTCCGGCCCGCGGGCCGTATAAGGTCCGCAAAATTATTTGGTCTGGCCCTGCCAAGGCAACCGAAGGCGGGACTCGAAATTCAATAAATCTAGGAGCAAACCTGGAAAAGAATTTGCGAGTAGCAGCAACATCATCAATACCAGCTAACATCATCACCACGCCTCACCAAAGAGAAGCAGTTCCAGCCATCACATTAGGGCTGGGTTAATTAAATGTTTGACCAAATATAACAGGCTAATTTTTAAGTTGATAATTTTGTATGGCCCGCGAATGATGTTATAAATATCCAAATGGCCCTTGGCAGAAAAAAAGGTTCCCCACCCCTGCTCTCGAGGGTATTTGGCACACTCTCCTTCCGTGCTGGCCATATGTCTGACAAGGGTTGGGAGTACCCACACTATACCCCACCACACTCGACGACGTGATGAGCGACCAACAGCGGTGTCCTCAATTATACCGCTGGCGAGACAGGCGGGGGTGGGGGTGGTTAAATGCCATGCCGGGAGAAAGAATATAACCGGTGACCTCTGGTTTAAATATCCAGAATGATACCCATTGCACGATGGCAGCAAAGTCAAAGAAGAGTTGAATAAATGTGGACCTTAGTAAAGTGCAGTGTGCACTTATAAGGTTTGCTCAAGGAAGATGTTTGTGCCATTAATAGTGTGCAGCCTTTTTTCTTGGAAGCTACTTTTTCTGGCACTCACAAAATCATGCCATGATAAATGTTTGGCATGGCAGCACTGCATGATCTCTTCCCCTAAATAATGTACGGGTTATTTCTTATTTGACAGTTATGATTATTTTTCGCAGGAAATTAAAAAGTCATTATTATTTTAAGTGTATTTAGTATTAGTTTTCAAGTGGCATTTTTGCACGTTAAACACATTCCTGCGGAGGGAGCTGGTAGGAACGTTGGGTTGCTCGGTCAATGGCCAGGGTCAACAACGGCGGCACCACGTGGTGTATTCCGCAAATATGCCCGACTGTGAGGGCGGGCACAAGCCGGCGTGAGTAGGTTAAACGTTGCGTTTTATAAGGGCACCACGGGGTGACCAGCCCCTCCCCACCCAGCCCCGCCCTCCCCACCCAGCCCCTCCCCACCCGCACCCACCCAGCCCCTCCCCTCTCCACCCAGCCCCACCCCTCCCATTTTTGGATGCACGACGGACGGACACAACAATCCCCTGTGGGCTGGTGGTGTAACCAGGAGGTTCCTACCAGTAGTATTGTCTACTTGAGTGACCAAAGCTGTGAGCCAAACCCAAACTGTTCTCAATGTGTCCGTTATTTCACAACGTTACTTCTGAAGAATGTTTTTTGTTGAATGTTGATTGTTTAGTTTCTATAAAAAAAAAACGTTTTCACCCCTGGTACACCACGGGAAGAGGAATAGAGTCTAATGTTATAATGTATGACAAAAGAACAAGGGATGGGAAGGGATGCCGGGATGGAAGTCCACAAAACGGACAAAGATAAGCAGCGGGTTAGAAAGAAGGAGCGCGCCGGGCATGGAGGGGAAGAGGGGGGGGGGGAGAAGCAACGACAGTGCCCAAGATGTCGGGTGAAGAGAGCGTGATGATGAGAGAGGTGGGAAGAGAGAGATATAGGGGGAAGGAACGTGCAAGCAGACGTGAGCTGCATCGATGGAGCAGCATCTGTTTTCACAGGGGGTGCCGGGAGGGATTCAGAGCAGCGGTGGCTACACAGAAGCCACGTGATTTACGGGAGGCTTGAGCTCATTATAGATATTTAGATTTTAAACTACGTGCGTGATAAGGAGAAATGATGCAATAAAGCGATAGGTTGGTTCATTTCCTTTAGCGCAAACACCATGGCATGTACTCATAACTAACTTTGTGCATCACATACACCTTTTAAAAATATTTTCATATCCCCATCTTGGTTCTTAAATTAGTCACCGGTGAGGGTTTGTTTTGGTTGGAATTACCCCCACATATTGAATGAAATAAAAACTTAAACAGAGTGCACTACCGTGATGGTTTAAAATGGGGTACATTCCTTTTATTCAAGAAATTTTGAATGGCGTTTACTGTGCATTGTATCTAAGAAACGTGCAAAAAGAGAGACGGTATACATTACTGCATATTACGTGTTCATATTTAATCATGAGAGGACATCCACACTCAAAATCGTTGTTTAAGAATACGGAGAATCTCAAAATGCTCTAAAACGATTGCCATACCAGTATAAGAAAAAGCGCTGCAATGGATACTGGATAGCGTTGCTTTTGGGTT